GGCCAGGGGCGCCCAGGCCTCTGCCGGAGCCCAAGTCGAGAACAGAGACGGAATCAAAGGGTTCGTTCGGGTCTGGCCCCTCCTCGCTCCTCTCCCCTCCCTCCCTCCCTCCTCGCTCCTCTCCCCTCCTCGCTCCTCTCCCCTCCTCGCTCCTCTCCCCTCCCTCCTCGCTCCTCTCCCCTCCCCCCCAGAACCCAGGATTTCGCGGGTGCTTCAAGCGAAACGGGCCAGACCACCTCAGGCGCGGCACCGCGGAGCCCAATTGCGAGGAGGCCTCGAGCGAAACGCGCTAGACCACCTCGCGCACATTTTCTGAAAGCCCAGGGTTGCGAGGATGTCACCTCCTCGCGCGCAGCATCTCGGAGCACCGAGTTGCGAGGATGTCTCAGGCGAAACGGGCTGGACCACCTCGCAGGCGACATCTGGCAGCTCAGAGTTCCGAGGATGTCTCAGGCGGCGCCCAGACCCCTCCCAGAGTACAATTCGACAGCAAATGTGTAATCACATGATTCGTTTGGGTCTGACTGCTCCTCCATCTCGGAGCCCAGAGTTTCGAGGATGGGAGCCCCGAGTTGCGAGGATATCTCAGGCGAAACAGGTTGGACCACCTCGCATGCGACATCTGGCAGCTCAGACTTCCAAGGATGTTTCAGGCGGCGCCCAGACCCCGGTCTGACTCCTCCTCCCTTTTTTCTCCTCTCTCTCGGAGCCTAGAGTTTCGAAGATGTCTCAGGCGAAACGGGCCAGACCACCTCGCCCGCAGCATCTCGGAGCATCCAATTGCAAGGATATCTCAAGCGAAACGGGCCACACACACACACGCACACACACACACACACACACACACACACTTGCGCAGCAAGGATGTCTCAGGCGAAGTGAGCTGGACCACCTCTCGTGCAGCATCTCGGAGCTGAGGGGTGCGAGGATGTCTCAGGCGAAAAGCGCCAGACAACCTCTCGCGCGGCAGCTCGGAGCGCAGAATTGCGAGGACATCTCAGGCGAAACGGGCTGGACCACCTCGCGCGCCGCATCTCGGAGCCGCGGTCTGCAAGGACGGCTCGGGCTGAGTCCAGCCAGACCACCTCGCGCGCGGCAGCTCGGAGGCCAGAGCTGCGAGGAGGTCTAAAAGGCGAGACGGGCTCTCCGGGCTCTAAAACTTCGAGGATGTCTCGGGCGAAGCGGCCTGGACCGCCTCGCACGCGGCGCCTCGGCACCCATATGTGCAAGGACGTCTCCAGCGAAAAGAGCCGGACCACCTCGCGCACGGCACCTCTCGGGGCTCAGAGCTCCGAGGATGTCTCGGGCGAAACGGCCCAGAACTCCCCCCACGAGCGGAGTCCCGGAGCCCAGATTTTCAGGGATGTCTCCGGCGAAGCGGCCCAGAGCACCTCTCGCACGGCAGCTCGGGGCTGAGAGTTCCGAGGACGTCTCGGGCACACCTCGCTCGCGGCGTCCCGGAGCTCAGATCTTCGAGGCTGTCTCGAGACGAACGGCCAATCCCGGACAATTCAGCAGCGGGAGCTGCGAGGATGTCTCAAGCGAAACGGCCCGGAGCATGAGGTGTGTCTTGAGGACGTCTCTGCTCCCCTGTTCCGCGGCTGGAGTTGGCCTCTGCCACAGCGGCAACCCGTTCTGCAAGCTGCTTGGGCGGATGTTTGGGGGCAAGAGCGTGCGAGAACCCCTGAACCTCGAACCCCGGCCCGCGATGTGGCAGCGCGCAGGGGGGGGGGCTTTCCAACAAGCCACGGGGCTTCTTAGAATGCCTCCCGCCTTCTCCGACAGAAGTAAGGTTAGGTCGGGCCTGTCCCCCTACAGGGGGATTTTGGAAGAACAATACAAAACAGTCAAACAACATTCCAAAAATAACATAAATAGTGATAACATCGTCCCCAGACTATTTTTAGACTCTTTTTGAGTATCCCTCCTGTGCACGTCGTTCATTTATAATCGTGCTCATTTCTAATTGTGCTCGTTTCTAATAATTCCTGGCCCCCTAGTGGCCAGGAAGAGGCTCAGGACAGAACAATTAGAAATAAAAGGATCTTGGCCCCCCCTAAAAATCTAAGAACTCTCGAAGAACTAGACATGAACAATGTGTAGAGGGACAGGCCCGACTTGAGAGTAGGAAGAGGCCACGCCACCACCACCACCGCCCCGCGCGAGGCGCCGGGGAGGGTCCTCCTGGTGGCGTGCTCCCCCCACCCCTCTCGCCGCTCGAGACGCCTCCCATCCCCGGCTCGGGGAGCCGTCGTGAACCACCTCGCTGGAGGTGGCGCCCCTGGTGGCCATCAACGCCTTCTTCGAAGGTTCCGGGCCCTTCAAAGGAAGGAGGCACCCTGCCTTCTCAGAAGGCCGCCTCCCACGCCCCCCCCCCACCCCCCCCTGCGCGCTGCCGGTCCATCCTCGACCCTCGATGTATGTTGCTCCCATCGTTCTTTAGGGCCACATCCCAGAAATGATTTCGAGCGCCCAGAAAAGTATCGAACAGTGTCTGCCCGACACGCTGGCGAAGCGCCGCACGAGCATCGCCTCCCTGGGGCCCGACGCGTGAAAACCTTCCAGTTTCGATTCCTTTTTGATGCTCGACATTCTTTTTGGTGGTCAAAGAATGTTTTCTTTTTCGGCGTTACGGCATTGGGCGGAAGGGGGGGAGGGGGGGGGGTGGTCCTCTGCTTAGTGCGACTGTTTGCAGCAGTGCTTCCTACGGGGGAGATTCCACCTGCTCGAAACAAGCGCCCAAAACAGCCAAGAGCCACTCCATGAGCGGGGGGGGAGGGCGGGGGGGTGCGAGGGCCAGCGCCGATCGGCAAAACAGTGAGTAAGAAAACGATCACGTTGGAACATCACCAGGGGAACGAGCAATGACACAAGCATTCAAAAAACTCGGAGGCCCGCGCGGATTTCTCGGATCCGGGCTGGACCCTCATCCCATCGGCTATACGCAAGAGTGACCCTGGGTAAGAGTGACCTGTGGTGCGCGACTTTTTGGGTGCCGCGGGGGGACCACACCTGGGCGCGCAAGCAGCTGCTGCTGCTTCGTTTTCAGCCATCTGGGGACCCATCTGTGCCCACACCAAAGGTCACTCCGGCGAAAGGTCACTCTTACGTCTAATCGATCCCAAGCGCGCGGAGCGCGCCCGGGGCGGCGCCGGAGGCGCCGCCAGGGGGCCCCAGCGCCGATCCGAGCAATCCGCGCAGACCTTCGAGCTTCTGTGTATGTCATTGCTCGTGCCCCTATAATCTTAGCCCTCGAGGCGTCAGTCGAGACGTGGCCACAAGGAGAGCGCGGGCCGAGGAGGCGCCTCCGCCGAAGGGCCCGGGCCCCCGCGGAGAGGGGACGCCCAAACAAGGGGGCGCCGCTCCGGAGCAGAGCGCCCGAGCGGGCGAAACGCACCAGGCCAGGAGGGCCCAGAATCGGATCCATGCGTCGCATCGGCAGCTGGAGTACAGTGGAGGCCAGTCCATAAGCAGCCTTCCGCACGAAGCCCAACCCTCAGACCCCAGGACGTCCACTGATTACTGGCGCGGGAGCGTCACGCTTTCCACCGCAAAGCCATCGAAACTGAAGAAACCCAGAGCACCCCGGAGGCAAGCAGCTTGGCATGTGTCTCCAGTGTACATCGGGTCGAAGGGAACGGGCGGCCGAGTCGGGAAGAATCGAATCGGCGGAAATCGGCAGGCTGGTAGGCCTCCATTGAAGAATCGGAGCCCAAATCGGTATCCGAAGTAATCGAATCGGAATCGGAAGCCATCGAAATCGAATCGAATCGGAGGGATCGAAATGAGCCCTGACAGGGGTGCCCCTTCGAAGCCGAGGGTTGCTCTCTCAACCCTCGTGCCTGCTGGAGGGAAAAGAGGCGGTGACCACGACCAAAGCTGAACGCGGAAGCGTCGGTGTCGACCTTGGTCACCGTCGATCCGTGGATCATCCTCGCGAATCGGCGGTCGGAATGGACCAAGGCCCAAAAGTGTGCGCCGACAAGAGATCCAGTGACATCTTGGCCATGGCCATCGTGCCTCTTGTCCAGACCTACCTCTCCTCCCCCCCACCAGCTCGAACGCGACGGAGCCGGCGGGGGGTGGGGGGAAGGGCCCGCCGCTCCCGACCGGGCGGGCCGCTGGCGCTGCATTCCTTCTTTGAAGGGGCCCTGGGACACACAAATAAACACACACAAATAAAACTATTCCCCATATTTTCCTACATTTTCTGGGCTTCTGTCTTCCCGCCAAATTCCCATATTTTCCCATGTTTTCTGGTGAATCGAGGATTCATTGTGTCTGTGTGTTTCTTTTCCTCCTGATTCCTCTGCGTCCCACACGGGGGCCCTCAGATCTGGGCGCCGCAGAGCGACGAGCGCGACAGCCGACCTGTCGCAGCTTTGCGCCGCCGGGGGCCCAGCTCCCCCGCGAGATCACCCCAGACCCACGTCGAGAAACGCATGCGACGTCGGAGGGGAGGGGTGTGGGGGGGACGATCGAGGATCCATGGCTTGTATGTTTTTCGGCGTTGCTGGATGGCTCCTGGGGGCCTCCCCGAGGGACCTCCGAAGGGTCAGGGTGAGGCGCGTGGCCTTGCTCCTCCTCCTTCCTCCTACTCTTCCTCCTCCTGCTCCTCCTGCTCCTCCTGCTCCTCCTCCTCCTCCTCCTCCTCCTCCTCCTCCTCCTCCTCCTCCTCCTCCTCCCCCCTCCTCCTCCTCCTCCTTCTCCTCCTCCTCCCCGTCCTCCTGGGAGGGAGAAGCGGCGGGCAAGGAGGCTGGAGGGGGAAGGCGGGAGAGGGGGATGTCCTCTGACGTCAGCATTGGCTCAGGACTTTTTCCGACGCGGCATAGTTGGGCATACATTGGCTCAGGCATGCAATACAGTACGCACGTCGCGTGGCGTTGGCAGTCTAGGCAAGGCATGCCATGCGGCGTCGCGCTCTCCAGTCAGCGAGAACAGAGGACTGGGGGAAGTGTGCCAGGAGATGAGGAGTGCGGAGGCGGGGGGGGCGCAGGGCGATGAGCCAGCCAGGCGCAGCACCCTGCAACTCAGGCAGCCTGCTACTCCAGATCGCCCGCCGCGGGCGTCCAGTACGTCCAGGGGGAGGCGTCGCCCTGCGCCTCGGGGTCCAGGGCCTCGCCCACGAACGCCCCGCCGCCTGGCGGGCCGCCCGCGGAGGGCACCGGCTCCCAGCCCGCCGAGGTCGGCAAGCTCGGCGTGCGCTTGGCGGGCGCCGCCCCCGGGCTGCGCGCGGGCTTCGTCGCGGCCGCGCCGCGCGGCGCTGGCGCGCGGTCCGCCGCAGCGCCCCGCCAGGCGGCGCTGGGCGGCGCGCCGCCAGCGTCGCGCGGGCCGCGCAGCGCCGCCGCCGCCACGCTGCCGGCACGCGGGGCGGCGGCCGCCGGCGCTCCGCCGGGCCCGCTGGCCGCGGGCTCGGCGGCGGGCGCCCTCGACAGCACCTGCCCCGCCGCCGTGGCTCCGGGGCCACCGGCGGGCCTGGCGGCCCAGGCCGTCCAGGCTGCGGCGCTGCGCGGGCTCCTCGGCGGTCGAGCTGGGCTCCCGCGCCCAGGCGGCGGCACGAGGTGCGAGGCCGGCAGGGAGCGTCTGGGAGCGGCCGCCGTGGCCTGCGGCGCGACCAGCGGCGGCGGGCCGCAGGGCGGGGGCGGGGTCGACGCGGGTCGCCCCTGGGCCGCCGGCGACAAGGAGCGCCACTGCGGCTGGCCCGGCGGCCACCGCGGTGCCCGCGCGGCGAGGGAGACGGTGCCGCCCCCAGTGGCGGCAAGAGAGGCCACGGCGGCGCGGCCCAACGCCGGCCCCGCGGGGGCCGCTGCTCGCACTGCCGCGGTGGCCCGCCCGTCGGCCTGAGGGGCGAAGCCCGTGAGCCAGGCGTGCCCCTGGGGGCTCACGCGAGGGCGCGCCAGCGGAGACGATGGCGGGAGCAGCCCGGCACCTGCCACAGCTGGGGGGGCGCCGCCGGCGGGCGCAGCGGCGCCCGGCGCGGGCCACGTCCGGGTCGCCGGGACGAACAGATCGCCAGCTTGGAGCGAGGGGCGCGACGACTCCACGGCCACCTCGGCGTACTCGTCGGGGGGCCTGGAGTGCCGGGCGCCCTTCCTCGCCGGCGGCCACTCTGCCTCCTCAGCCTCTGGGCTGTCCATCTGGAGGTACTCGTGGCGGTCTTCCCCGTCGTCCTGAGGGGCCCGCGGCTGGCTGCACCACTTGGCGCCCGAATCCGAGGGGGCCGGGCCCTGACACTGACACCGCTGGCACTCCGCAGGTGAGGAGCTGCTCGCACCCATGCGAGGCAGGCCGACTCGCCAAGCACCATGCGGGCCGCGCACCGGTGCCGCCCTGGGGCGCCCCCAGGGGGGACCCGCCGCCCCGATCCGAGGGAGGCTGCGTGATCCAGAACGGCTACGGTCAACTTTGGTTCAGGATGGGCCGAAGAAGCGAGGATGTATGAGCATCGTTTAACCGATCCCCATCCCCAGAGGCGCGGCCTGGGCCCCACTGGCCGATGTATCCCCCTATAGATGGGGATATGGGCCGTTCCCCTCGGGCTTCGAGGGGTGCATCCCCAACTGGGGTGGTAATTTGGTGGGGGTCTCGAAGGGGATGAGGATGGGGATGGGGGTTGGTTAAACGATACTGCATGTACACGTCGTTCATTTCTAATCGTGATCATTTCTAATGGTGCTCGTTTCTAATTATTCCTGGCCTCCTTGTGGCCAGGAAATGGCCCAGGAAAGAACAATTAGAAATGAAAGGATCTTGGCCCCCAAAAAACTTAAAAAAAAAAAAAAACGTCGAATACTTAGAAAGGAACAATGTGTATGCAGGAAGCTGGAAACACACATGCCTGGATCTGCATCTGGAACAGCCGGAGGCCACGCGCGGGATACGCACATGCGGAAGTCCTGCGCGCCGCACGATGTGTGTCCAGCTCTCGCCTATAGCGCTGGCCGCGGCAGATGTATCTAGCCTCTGGGCAGCTTTCTCCCCGATCAGTGCTCGCACTGAAGGGGTCCTAGCGGAAGTTGAAAGATTTGGCGAACATTTCCCGCCGATGTTGGTAGCAAGCTGGGTTCCCAGGTTCCCGGTTGCGGGTTCCCGGTTATTGATTCCGGGCCGATTTCGGTGGTCTCTGGGTTCCAAGGCACCCGGTCTCCCGTTCGATCCTCAGCGAGAACCATCCACTGTTTGGGGTTTTTCCTGCCTGCAGGGAGCTCCAGAGGGCCAGCAGGGTCCCAAGGCCTCGGACGGAGAACGGCAACACGACCACCGCGGCACAGTGGTTCACGCCGCTCGGCCGAACAGCGGTGAAGAAACAAACAGCGGTGAAGGCAACAAGCAGCGGCACCGCAATTGCACAAGACACGGGCGGAGGCTGTCCTGCGAAGGCAGTCTTCGTGAAGCAGCGCATCCTCACGATGGATTCTGACTGCACCCCCCCCGACGTGGCCCCTGCGGATGGTCCCCTCCCTCGCCATCGCTCGGACATCCATTTGTGTTTTTTTCGGTTTCGTGCATGGCTTGGGCGCCAAATGATCAAGGATGCTCCTCGATGGCCCACGCCGAGAAAAAATGCACACGTCCGAGCGGCGCCAAGCTCCGGGCCTCCCCTCCAGCATTGCCGGCCCCGGCGCCCCGAGGATGGCGGCGCGGTGGAGCAGAGACCGACCGTCCCAGCATTCCTATAGTCCTACCACGAAGTTTTCTCAGAGCCCGAAGATGTTCTTATAACGCAAGCAATGTTCTCAGAACACAAGACCGATCTGATAGGACAAGACAGTCCCAGCCAGAAACGTTCTAAGAATGTTCTGTGCAAGCCACAAAAAGGTTCTTAGAACATTCTTTGGTGGGCCTATATCGGGCTTTGGTAGAACTGGCTTTAGTGGAACCTGGTTTAGTGAGTGATCTGTATCGGGGGCGCCCCCCCGTCCCATGTCCACTAACCGGAACTGCCGTCACCCGAAAAAAACACCATCTATGGCAAACCTGGTTTCGTGATCCTGGCCAATTCGAAGGCTCCGGGGCCCTACCACTAACCGGGTCCCCTTACCCGGGGTCCTGGCCATACCCGACTATCTGGCCATCGCTCGGACGTCCATTTCCTCTGTTTTTCCCAACCCTCCTTGGTTGGGTATTCGTTTTGAATAGAGAAGTGTGGTCTCCACTCCTTCCTTCCTTCCTCCTCCCCCCTCCCTGCCTCTTCCTGTCTTGCCTGCGGGGGGCTGCGATCTGTGAAACTGTTGCCATTTTCGAGGCCTGCTGGGGGGCCCAGCACAGTGAGGGCCACGCGCGGATTCAAATTAGACCTCGCCAACCCTGGGGGGCTGCGATCTGTGAAACTGTCGCCATTTTCGAGGCCTGCTGGGGGGCCCAGCACAGTGAGGGCCACGCGCGGATTCAAATTAGACCTCGCCATCCCTGGGGGGCTGCGATCTGTGAAACTGTCGCCATTTTCGAGGCCTGCTGGGGGGCCCAGCACAGTGAGGGCCACGCGCAGATTCAAATTAGACCTCGCCATCCCTGGGGGGCTGCGATCTGTGAAACTGTCGCCATTTTCGAGGCCTGCTGGGGGGCCCAGCACAGTGAGGGCCACGGGCGGATTCAAATTAGACCTCGCCATCCCTGGGGGGCTGCGATCTGTGAAACTGTCGCCATTTTCGAGGCCTGCTGGGGGGCCCAGCAAGTGAGGGCGACGCGCGGATTCAAATTAGACCTCGCCATCCCTGGGGGGGTGCGATCTGTGAAACTGTCGCCACTTTCGAGGCCTGCTGGGGGGCCCAGCACAGTGAGGGCCACGCGCGGATTCAAATTAGACCTCGCCATCCCTGGGGGGCTGCGATCTGTGAAACTGTCGCCACTTTCGAGGCCTGCTGGGGGGCCCAGCACAGTGAGGGCCACGCGCGGATTCAAATTAGACCTCGCCATCTCTGGGGGGGCTGCGATCTGTGAAACTGTCGCCACTTTCGAGGCCTGCTGGGGGGCCCAGCACAGTGAGGGCGACGGGCGGACCCAAATTAGACCTCGCCATCCCTGGGGGGCTGCGATCTGTGAAACTGTCGCCACTTTCGAGGCCTGCTGGGGGGCCCAGCACAGTGAGGCGACGCGCAGACCCAAACTAGACCTCGCCATCCTTTGGCGGGCTGCGATCTGTGAAACTGTCGCCACTTTCGAGGCCTGCTGGGGGGCCCAGCGCAGTGAGGGCCACGCGCGGATTCAAATTAGACCTCGCCATCTCTGGGGGGGCTGCGATCTGTGAAACTGTCGCCACTTTCGACGCCTGCTGGGGGGCCCTGCACAGTTACGGCATGGGCATATTCAAACGAGACCTCGCCATCCCTTGGAGGCTGCGATCTGTGAAACTGTCGCCACTTTCGAGGCCTGCTGGGGGGCCCAGCGCAGTGACGCCACGGGCAGATTCAAATGAGACCTCGCCATCCCCTGGAGGCTGCGATCTGTGAAACTGTCGCCACTTTCGAGGCCTGCTGTGATCTCCGTTTTCGAAGTGGCTAGGAGTGCTCAGGAATTGTAGCTCATCAGCTTTATCAAGCCCTTTTCCTGTAGCCAGTGTCCTGCGAGTCTCCCGAATTCCGTCTGCAGACATATGTAACCCTCGCTCCGCCATCGCCCCCTTATAAAGTATCCTAAACTATCCGCGCCCCGCTCTTGCGCAGGGGTTGGGTACGTCGCCAGGGTAATTTTCGGTTTCGTGCGTGGTTTTTTCGCCAAGTGGTCAAGGATGCTCCTCGATGGCCCCCACCGCAAAAAAAATGCACACGTCCGAGCGATGCCAAGCTATAGGCGAGCCAGGACGCTCCGCCACTGCTCGAGGCGGGGCCGACGGCCTCCGCCGGCGCGCCCTCGGCGGGCCGGCCGTGGGCCGCCCGCCAGGCGGGCACGTCGGTCCCGCGGGAGGGCCCGCGCCAGAGCCGCGGGGGGGCACGTCAGTCCCGCGGGCGCACGCTGACTCGGGGGCGCGCAGGCCGGGATTGGCGAAGTCCACGGGTTGGGCGCGCGGTCGCCAAGGCCATGGATCGGGGGAGGCGCCCTGCCCAGAGTGCGGCAAAAGGCCGCCGCGCTCGGCGGCGGAAACGGACGCGATGTCCCGCGGGAGCGGGACCCGTCGCTGATCCACGCCCCCTTGATCCATGTCTGCGATCGCCTGACTGACGTGGGCCCCCCGACCTCCCCAGGAGAGCCCAGAATCGAATCGATAAGTCGGATCGGCAATCGAACTAAATCGGATCGGAGGAAATCGGCAGCCGAGTCGGGAAAAGTCGAATCGGCGGAAATCGGCAGGCTAGTAGGCCTCCAGTGAGACATCGGAGCCCCAATCGGCATCCGAAATCGAATCGAAGCGGAGTCGGAGGCCATCGAAATCGAACCGAATCGGAGGAATCGAAACGAGCCCTGCGTGGGGCCCCCGACCTCCCCCACTCCACACGGGCTCCCGACGACGACGCCGCCCAGGGCCCCGCGCCTTCGGCGCCGCCGCGCGGGGGGCGAAGGTCCTCTCGTCACATGACCTGCGCCGCGCGGGCGCGGCGGCGCGTGTCGCGCCCGGGTGGGCGGAGGCCTCGTGGGACGGACGGGAAAGTGGGGAAGAGGAGGAGGAGGAGGAGGAGGAGGAGGAGGAGGAGGAGGAGGAGGCAGGAGGAGGAGGAGGGGAGAGGAGGAGGAGGAGGAGAGGGAGGAGGAGGAGGCGGAGGAGGAGGAGGAGGAGGAGGAGGAGGAGGAGGAGCAGGCGTAGGAGGAGGAGGAGGAGGAGGAGGAGGAGGAGGAGGAGGAGGAGGAGGAGGAGGAGGAGAGGAGGAGGAGGAGGAGGAGGAGGAGGAGGAGGGGAGGAGGAGGAGGAGGAGGAGGAGGAGGAGGAGGAAGGAGGAGGAGGAGGAGGAGGAGGAGGAGGAGGAGGAGGAGGAGGAGGAGGAGGAGGAGGAGGAGGAGGAGGAGGAGGAGGTGCAGTGGGCACACACGATGAGACACCTTACCATGAGACGCTTGCCAGCGTTGGCCCCAAGCATTTCGGTAATTGCACCTTCGAATTGTAAGCCGTGTGGTGTTGAGGCAACGCGGCGGCAACGCGGCGAATCCTTGGCATACGGACCAGTTCTTCAGGGAGACGAATCTGGTCATGGAGCGTCCTGACGTGGTCAAGTGCATGTGTGGGTCCCAGGGGCCATCGGTGGATAAGCCATTGCCGCGGGGCACCTGCAGGCAGGCAGGTTTTTTTTGGACGCGCCCACTGTCGTGGATCGGCTGCATGCAGCTGGTTCTGCTGGGCGCCTCCCGCCGCCAGGAACGACCGTGCATCGAGGAAGCGGCCTGGCGGCGGAGCTGAAACCGGCTGCGTGCAGCCGGCTTCGTACCGCCCCCGTTGTTCAGTTCCTTCCCTTTCCTCCGACCCTTGCGAGAAATGCTCAGACCCAGACTTCGGGCGGATTGTTTTTGTCACTCCCGGCGTCTTTCCTCCTCTTCGGCACCTGGCGGCCGTCTTCGGTCCCCGGGACCAGCGAACATGGACCCGGGCGAAAAACAGCACCCCCCCGGGGAGGGGATCGAGCCCCAGGGCCCGCGTATGGGAGAAACAAGCCGTCCGATTCCGGGGGAGATAGAGGCCTCCTAGATGGGGTCCTCCTGGATGGGGTCGGAGGATCGCGTCGCATCGCCAATGCATCGGCGACGCGTCGGCGATGCATCACCGATGATGGCAACGCATCGGCGACGTCGGCGTGGAGAAAATCGGGATCCGCACCGAGCCGCATCGCTGATGCATCGGCTGTGCGGCGTGATCTTCCGACCCCATCGACTCCGACCCCATCTAAGAGGCCAAGACAGGAGGTGCCGATAACCGATACCGCTACTCCCCCTCCCCGGGACCTCTCCAGGAGTGCGTTCTGACCAAGGCTTCGAGGCGAATCCGGCGGTGGCGACGAGGGCCTCCAAGGAGGAAACAAAAGGGGAGAAACGAGGGAAGGGTAGAGGTATGGGTACCTGTTCCTCCTTTGATCGTCGAGCCTCGACCTTCGATCTTCGAGCATCGAACCTCGATCCTGGATCATCGATCCCCTGCGCCGCCGTGGCTCAAAAAATACGCTACGCCGGGGTCAGACTGGGGTCAGACCGGGGTCAGCGCCAATCGGGGTCTGGGACAAAACCATGGGGGACTCGACAAAACACGACGTCCCAAGTCCTTCGAGGTCCCCCAAAGTCCTAAGAGGCCTGTGGAGGCTTCAAGTCCTCCTCCTCTTTCTCTGGGCCTCGACTGGAATCCGCTCCCAATCTGGACCCCTCTCAGGTTCCATCCTGTCAAACGTTTTTCATCCCGAATCGCTCTCTGACCAGCCCTGGGCCCCCAGAGGCGGCCTCTGCAGGCCGATCCGGGGAAGATGGCACCCCTTAAAAACGCCACAGCACCCCAATCACCAGGACCCCCCGAAAAGGCCCAAAGGAAAGACGTCCCCAAGCACTACCGGTGCGGGCGGGGCCACCGCGGTCCGAGCGGCACCGCCGAAGGGCATTGGCGCGCACGGGGACACGCGTCTTGCCGCCGTCGCCGCCGACCGGCGCCGCTGCCGCCACGTCGGCCCATCGACGTGTGCCGAAGCCGCATCGCCCACTCCTCTGGCTGTGAAACTTGACCAGAAGGCTGCGAACTTGCAGCGCCGGCGCAAACTTGAGCGCGCGGGGGGAAAAGAACACCGCAGAGTCCCAACGAGGATGCTCAACAAGCGTGCCGCCCGCACCGTGGCGTGAACCTGCTGGCACCATGGCGGCGCGCAGCCCGCCATGCGACACGAACGCTCCCTGGATCACGGGACGAGGCCGCAGCGAACGCAAGCCCAGATCGACGGGAGGAGCGGGCGCAGGATCCGTGCAGGCAGGCAGGCCGGGAGGACGCATTGGAAGACCGACGCGAGTACTGGGACCACGTCAGCGCCGCTGCCCTCCCCCCGCCCTCGCTCGAACGTCCCTTCCCCCGAGCGGTTTTTGGTGCATTTTTTTTTGAATTCGCGCGTGTATGGATTCGCAGGGCGATCCTCCCGCAGCGTGGCTCGAGCCGCGAGCGCGCCCCCTCCTCGGGGTCTCCTGCGCTCGAGGGGGCGCCCGACGCGCGCGGGGGCCCCGCCCCGGCGCACGCGGCCGCCGCGCGGCCGCCCGCCGCCCCCCCCGGCCGCCCCGCCGATGGGCCCCCGCCGCAGCAAAGATGCACACGTCCCAGCGGTGCCAGGCCACCTCGGGCGTTCACGAATGGGGGGGCGAGCGATGGGGGGGGGGAGGGTAAGGGAGGTGCACCTCTCGTGCACCGTTCGTACCCCCTCGGGGCCCCGGGGGGCCCGTTTAGGGCCCCTTTAGGGCCCCTCTCGTGCAAGCCTCGACGCCCCCCCCCCAATTATCGCCCCCGCATTGCCAGACGCCCGATCATCCACGCCCGCTCTGGCATCACCAGGGGGGTCCGGTGCGGGCCTGCACGATCGTGGGAAGCCGCCGCGCCACCGCTGTTGTCGTCGTCGTCGCCGCCGCCCCAAGTCGCTGTCGCTTCGTCGCCGCCGCCCGTCGCCGCCGCCGCCGTCACTGCCGCCACCGCCGTCGTCGTCGTCGTCGCCGCCACCCGACGCCGCCGCTGTCCCCGCGGTGCTCCTGGGGCCCGTCCTGGCCATCTGTTGGAGGTGCGCCCAGCCGTGGCCACGACAACCTCCAGAATAGGAGACCACATGCGAACCCTACCCCTCCCCCTCAGAAATCGTGGGGGGTAGGGGTAGGGTTCGCATGTGGCCCCCTACAGAAGCGAACAGAAAACTCCGAAACGGCGGCGGCGAGGACGTCGAGGGCTTCGACGTCGACGTCGTCGTCGTCGTCGCCGTTGTCGAGGGCGAGGCCGAAGTCGAAGGCGAGATCGTCGCCGCCGTCACCCGTCACCTGTCGCCTGTTGCCTGTCGCCGCCGTCGCCGTCGTCGATGTCGTCGTCGTCGTCGTCGTCGTCGTCGTCGTCGTCGTCGTCGTCGTCGTCGTCGTCGTCGTCGTCCTCGTCGATGTCGTCGTCGTCGCGGGGTTAAAAGCCTTGCTCGACCCAGGGCCTCCCAGACCCCCAGGCTCTTCTCGATCCAGGGCCCTGAGCCTTGCTCGATCAATGGCCCCCCAGGCCCCCTGAGCCCTGCTTAGCCCAGGGCCTCCTCCTCCTCCTCGGCCTCCCAAGGGGTGGAATTCTAAGAGGGGGTTCGTGGACTGCCGCAGGAGGTGTGGGTGAGATGCCACGGTAGGGGGCGGCGCCTAAGAGAGCCACGGAGGTGCTCGGGCGGCCAGCGAACCGTCGCCGTCACCGTCGCCGTCAACGTCGGCGTCACCGTCGCCGTGGCCGTCGCCATCCGACGCCGCCTCCGTCATCGTCGTCGTCGTCGTCGTCGCCGTCGCCGTCGCCGTCGCCGTCGCCGTCGCCGTCGCCGTCGCCGTCGCCGTCGTCGTCGTCGTCGTCGTCGTCGTCGTCGTCGTCGTCGTCGTCGTCGTCGTCGTCCGGGGTGGGCTCGTGGTCGGAGGCCTGGCCGACGATGAGGTCGTTCAGCAGCTCCTCGAACTCGGGCGGCACATCCTAGCGGTGTGCTCAAGTCTGCTCTCGTCCCTCGGAAGGAAGTGATCGAGATGTCGAGGGCCCTCGACGTCAAGACCACCGATGGTCCTCGATGCCGACGACATGGCTCTCGATGTCGACGGCATTGAAGTCGAGAGCCCCCATCCCCTCTGTCCTTGCTGTCGGGAACATGGGCAGATCACGTTTCCTACCTTCTTTTGCCTCCTGCGGCCTTTGGACAACTCTAGGGGGCTTCGGGGACCTCTTCGAACTCGGGCGACATGTCATTAGGGGGGGGTCACCTCAGCCCAAGTGGGCCCCACGAGAAGCCCAACAAAACATCACGAGGGTCCCACGGAGGCCACAGCATGGGTTCGCAAGGATGCCCGACGAGAGGCCCCGAAGGCGGTCAAGGGAGGGGCGGCGCTGCGGAAGATACATCAATCGCGAAGGTACGCGAGATTGCCCCATTTGGCAGCGTACACGTCGTTCATGTCTAATCGTGCTCATTTCTAATTATGCTCGTTTCTAACTGTTCCTGGCGCCCTAGTGGCCAGGAAGAGGCCCAGGATAGAACAATCAGAAATGAAAGGATCTTGGCCCCCCAGAAAATCAAAGAACTTTCGAATCATTTAAAATGAACTCTGTGTAGCAGTGGAGCCCCTTGAAAGCGAAACTTGCGCAGGCGGGGACGAGCGGGGCAGGAAACAGAGGAGGCTGTGAGAAAACATGAACAGGACGAGGCACGAGCCCAGGGAAGGCGAGCGCCCAATTCCACAGCACAGTGTGGCAATGCGCCCAACATGTTTTCGAATCCGCATTGAACCTATATTGTTCCCATCGCACTTGAGGACCACATCCCAGAAACAAACCGAGCACCCAGAAAAGTATCGAAACAATGTCGAACGAAAATCGCCTCACAGGGCCCGGCACGTGAAAACCCTCAAGTTTCGGTGCCTCTTGGGCCGTGCTGAGCTGATTTCTGGGGCCTCGTGGGCTGGTCTGGACCGTCGGAAGCACGAAACAGCGGGAACACGAAAAACCTTCAAACACCATGCAGGAACCCACTTGTTTCGCCGCGGGAGTCCTTTTGAAAGCATCTCGGCCGTCTTGAAGCCCTCTTGGGCTGTCTTTAGACCATGTTGGACTAATTTTGAAACGCTCTTGTGCGGTGTCGGGCTCTCTTGGAGTGTTCTTGGGCCATGCTGGCGCCCTTTTGGACGTCTCTCGGCCCCGTCTGACGTTGTTTGGCGCCCCCAGCCGGGCCCGAAACGACCGAAAGATAAATCAGTGCACTTCGGGTGCCCCTGGACCCCATACCCATCTATATATGTATTTATGTATATGTATACACATGTACGTAATCTGTGTTTATGCATATATACATATAAATAAAAAATGTATTTATACAAGTATGTATGTATGTATGTATATATGTATATGTTTATATGCGTGTATAGATATATATATATATACATTTATATATATATGTATATATATACCACATATAAACACACTAGAACTACGCGCGCGCTACGCGCGCGCTTCGGTTCTAACCGCGGCATCATGGCGGCAAAGGACGCTACGGCAAACAGTGCCATCGACAGCGGATATCACTCCAGAGGGTCCTGGCGGCCGACCCTCCTGGAGCCTTGGATTTCTCGTGCTGTGCTGTCGGCAGGAGGAGGACGCGCAGAAGGAGGAGGAGGAGGAGGAGGAGGAGGAGGAGGAAGAACGGCGGCGGGGAAGTAAGGGGAGGGGCGGAAGGAGGAGGTGGAGGTGGAGGAGGAGGAAGAGAAAGAAGAGCGCAGCATCAGCACTACCAGCAGCACCGTGAGCAGAATGAGGAGTTGGAGCAGGGGGGAGGAAGAGGAGGAGGAAGAGGAGCAACTGGAGTTTCCGCGAGCTCCGCCGCCCGCTTTGCCGCGCGCGGCCGCAGCGGAGGCCTTTTGGAAGTGTCTGGGATCGTTTTGCCGACCACTTTGGCTGTTTTGGGCCCCGCTTCAGCTGCTTCGGGGTACTCCTGGGCCCCCCTTGGGTGCAGTTTGGGCAATCTGGGTGCCTTCTTGGGCCGTCTAAAAGCAGCGTTGGGGGCCTCAGGATCCGCACTGGGCGGCTGGGGCTTTGGGGAGCTCTCCTGGAAGCCTCTGGGAAGCCTGTGACAGTGGGAGGCCTGGGGCACCAGGCGGGGGCAGCCTCTTGAACGCCCTGCAATATCTTGGGGCTCTGTTGGCTCCGGGTCGCCGAAACCTTTTTTTTTTATATATAAAAAAAAGGAAAGTGCGCGCCGACCCTCCCATGCGGAGCCATCTGGGGACAAGGTTGAGAGACTCTGGGGCCGAACCGGGACGGTCTGGGCGTCCTCTGGGGCCGCCGTCCGCTTTGGGGATGCAGAACAGGATGCATGGAGAAAAACGTGGAAAAACTATGGGGCAACCAAGTGTTTGAGCTTCGGGGAGCTCTCCTGGAGGCCCCTGGGAAGCCTGTGGGAGGCCTGGGGCACCAGGCGGGAACAACCCCTGGAGTTCCCTGCAACCTCTTGGGGCTCTGTTGGCTCCGGGTCGCCGAAACCTTAAACAAAAAACGCAAGGCAAGTAAGGTTCCGGGCCCCGCATGCGCCGCCGAGGTCCCTGGGCGGGACCCCCTTGGCCACGTTCCCCGGGATTATATATATTATATATATATATATATATATATATATATATATATGTATATGTATACCACTTGTACCTTGGACATCGAGGTCAGAGCGTCCGACTAAGACTAGAAGGGCGCTCGGGAGTGGTCAACAAGGGCCTGCGTTGCCCTTCGGATGGCGTAGAAATGTCGGGCTCTGTCCTCCTCTGAGACGATGGGGGCCAGGATCAGGGGCCGTGCGCACAGCATTGTACATGTGATGCGCACGTACAGTCCGCTCAACCTCTTCTGGAGTCGGTGCCCCAGCGAGGCCGAGACGAGTGGCGATGCGCGCAAGGGGCGCGGCGGGGTGGTGTACAGGGCCCCGCAAAACTGGACGACGAACGCGATGAGACTTGCCATCTCGGCAACAAACGCAAAATCATCTACAGCCTCGAACCTCGGCGCTATGAAGACGGGCGCTCGTGGGCCAGGCCCCGCCCCCGGTTTTTAGAACCGCGCTTTGCCATGATGGCGGGCCGCCATCCTTTGCGAGGTCCCTGCGGGGGGCCCAACTCTGGACATCAGAAGCAACGTTCCAGGAGGCGATGCGCTTCGAAATCGCATCCTGCGCAACATCTGGGAAGAGAAACGATCGAAGGGAGGAGGAGGGAAGCCTCTGGACACGCACCCTCTCTGGTCCAGTCTGGTCCTCGAGGGCTGCAAGGGCGCAGGCGGCAGCCTCAGAGAGCTCGCGGGTGCCGAACTGGCCGAGCGAGGCTGCCTCCGCGTGCTGGACCAGCGGTTGCGAGCGCCAGAAGATCGGCGATAGGCGCCCGCTCCCGATCGCAGCCAGGGCGCCGCGCTCCTCCACCATCGCCTTGAGCTTGGCCAGGAGCGGCCTCCAGTTCGCGAGGGTCGAGCACGCCGCCCGCGTGCGAGACGCCGTGCTGAGCGCCGTCATGCTGCTGGGGCGCAGCGCTGACCACGAAGCAAGGCCCATGATGGCGCGCTTCGGGAACGACTGAGGAGGGAGGTGCCGGACTTCGCGCCGCGCCCATGCCGCTCTTCGGCGCAGCCAGGGCGGCGCGGGCGCGAGCTGCATAATGTGGCCCAACGCCGAAAGCACCCTCGAATTGTAGATGACGGTGGAGATGTGCGCCGGGGCCCCGGCGCGAGCAAGTTCACGGACTCGGTGGATTCATTTAGCCCCGAGCTTCTGCCACGGGATGTCTGGCGTAGCCTCTGGCCCCAGCGTGGCCCCGAGGTGCTCGGCGAAGGGGGCGGCGCCCATGGGTCGCCACGCAGGCAGCGCGTCCGCGAGCCAACTGCGAGCGGCATCATCGAGCTCAGGGCAGAAAGAGCCGCTGAAGGGGATGTCCTTGCACTTGCGGAGCTTCGGGCAGAGCCCCGCAAGGACCTCGGCCGCTCTGAAGACGCGCCAGAGCCGCATCAAAATGCGGCGGCCCTGCACGACGACCCCCGCGTCTCCGCGCAGACCCCGGGCCCCGAGGAGGCAAAGGGGCTGACGGTGATCTCCATGTGCAGCACGAGCGGCTTCACGGCGACGGCCCACAACGATCCGCTGAGCGGGCACCCCTCGGCGATGCCAGCGACGACGTGCATGAAGTGTGCGAGGGCGCCCTCGACGGCGACGGAGGCAGCAGGCAGCCAGCAAATTCCCACGATGAGCTGGAAGATCCCCCCATCGAAGCCCGCGTGCAGGAGGGTGGCCCGAGGAAACGAGACCGCGAGCGACGGCAAGGCGTCCCCGAAGTCGAAGAGGACCATGAGTGGCTGCGTGGCGTCTGTATGCTCGGAGAGGCCGATGACGCGGGCAAAAGGTGTCCAGCGCCGCGATGTTGCCCTGAAAACTGCGGCCAGGGAGAAATCCGCGCTGTGCCGCCGGCGAGGCGTGCTCGTTCGGGAACTTGATCTGGTTGTTGCATCTGGCGGCGAGCAGCTTCACGTCGCTGTTCTTGAGCGCTGGCGGCCGAGTAGTCGCAGGAGCATGGGCGGGGCCCAAGGCGAGATCCGCCTCCTCCGTGCCCGGCAGGGAGGCCATGAGGTGGTCGTTGAGGTCCATCGGCGGCGGGGAGCCTTGGGCGATTTCACCCCCCGCGGCAGCCAGGTCCGCCGACGGCCTCGAGCAGCCGCGTCTGCCCCAGGCGTCGCATGGCAGGCCATCTGGTCCAGGCGCAGATGGTCGCGCGCGCTCGGCAGCTCGACGATGGCCACGAGCATCAGCAAGACGAGCCTCTTGGAGCCCAGCAGCGGGAACTGGGTGCTCACTGAGGTAACGTTCGAGAGGCGAAGGCTGCTCATGGTGCAGACGCTGGAAGACGGGGGCCCAGTGAGAGCGGAGCTCGCGCAGAATGTCTGACTGGGCGTTGACCGCCCGATCC